TAACCATTTAAAGATTTTTGATTGTTTGGCTTTTGCATCAATTTTAATTGGGAATAGACATAAGTTTGATGTAAGGGCTAAGAAATGCATATTTTTGGGATACTCTTTTAGTACTAAGGGATACAAACTACAGGATATTGAAACATGTGATATTATCATATTCATGAATGTTATCTTTCATGAGAATGTGTTTCCTTATGAGGATAGAAGCTGGATGAACACATTAGAAACCTCCACAAAATTAACACAGGGTCCATACCCACAACAAGAATGAACATTGCATTAGATTTTGAAGAGGTTAACCTAGAGGGCCAAATGGAGAATTTAGAAAGAGTTGTGGGAATGCCTAATCAAATACAGGAAGAAACAACAACTGGAGAAATAGAAAGTCATGGGCAGGACATTGAACATGAACTTGTCTCTAAGGAAGTTGTCACTAATGAGACACCCACTTGAAGAAAATCCACTAAAACAGGTAAGACACCAACGCACTTAAAGGATTATATGTGTAAGCAAATTAAAGGACATGAAAATAATGTTGAATAGATAAATGGAGAAGACTCTCAATCAAATGAAGTTGTTCCCATAACAAGTACTGTTGGATACTTCAAGATTAAAGGGGTACACAAGAGATATATTCTAGCTATAACATCCCAAGAAAAACCTAACTCGTTTGAAGAAGCAAACAAGAGTGATGATTGACAGAAGGCAATGCACTCTAAGCTAAAAGCATTAAAAGATAATAAAACTTGGAGGATTATGGACGTCTATGCAGGAAAAAAGGCTATTGGATGCAAGTGGGTTTACAAAGTGAAATTCAAGGCAGATGGTACTATTGAGAGACATAAAGTCAGACTTTTCGCTAAGGGTTTCACCCAAATAGAAGGTCTAGATTACCATGAGACTTTCTTGCCAGTGGCCAAAATAGTTTTAGTAAGAATATTATTACCTTTAGCGGTCATTAAGGGATGACATCTTCAGCAATTAGATGTTAACAACGTGTTTTTGCATGGAGACTTAAATGAGGAGGTATACATGGAACTTCCTCCCGAACATCCTAAAAGGAGATAAGAGAAAATTTGTAGATT